TTAAGTAAATCCGTATGGCAATAAAGTTGAATAAAAAACTAATTTGTCGATCAAAGTCGATAATCACAAGAAATCGTGTGATCAATTTTTATCGACATGTGGTATTTGTCGATTGATTAGTATCAAATTCGATCGACAACGATCGATTATTATCGACTATCGAAATTATCGACATGTTACGTCCTGGTTTATATCATTTGATCACGACCGCTGTGTTTTCTCATGGTAAAGTAACGCTCGCTGTATTCTGCAGCAATAAACGAAATTCCCGCGTGCGCTCCCGATACCTCGTTTAAGGTTTTGTTAAAATTAATCATTAAAATATTTCACAATCGTTTCAGTGTGATTAGTGAAAAGCTTACTACACCGGTATCAAGTTACATGTACCTTCTCTGGGACACCTCTGTGATCGCTGCTACCTTGATAAAATCGACGTTCGTATCCCTCAATGAAGCCTGGAACTTTACTAGCGAAGGGAAAATTAGCCTTCCAGGTCAACGATCCATAACCAAATATCCACAAGTTATCTTCATCTGACATACTGTCAGCTACTGTCCGCCGACAAGCAGATCAACAGGTGCAACGACCAAGGGAGGCAGAGGAGAGAGAGCCTGGGAACGAGTTTACGGGTGGCAAGCCAAATCGACGTCGCGTCATGTCACGTTGCGTGGCAACCAAAATACTTGGTTCTATAAAGGTCGGAAGGGGGTGGGGTAGGGGGGAACGTTTGACTTTTGAAGAGGGGTGAGTGATTTTGAAGAAAATATCCTGCAAGCAAACCTGTAACCCCAAAAAATTCATTCACACGACCACAGCCAAAAAAAACATTCATGCACGTTCAGTAAGCCAAAAAAGCATGTTATAAGGAGAAAAAAAATTATTTTGCATACAGCCCAAGAAAAAAAGCTGGCTTGAGGAAAGTCTGCCTGTCACTTTCATTAGAGTCCCATGTAGCCTCCATAAAAAGTAAAATATAATAAATACAATTATCTGTTAAACCAGAATATTGAACAGTGACTGAAATGACACAATTATTGTTTTATTGAATTTTTACATATTTACAACCTTGTGGATACATGTACAATGTAAGACCACTCACGCATGTACTACTTCACCTAGTTCTACATTTCTCACACAGAAATGATCAACGTCATTTTTTTCTTGTGGACACAAGTTTTGTGACGCAACTGGATAAAACATGGACAACATTTTTCCTGCACCATCAAATGAAACTTGGATGTTGTCTACATCACTTCGCTATGGTGCAGTCTCCTAGGGCCATGGCATAATGCAGTTGGTCTCTTGGGAGGAAACCCCATCAGGAGTATTAGGGTGATGAAGTATATTTTTCTCTGTATGAGTCAGATATCAAATAACTGACTGTAAAATGTAAAAAATGGTTAAGTTACCAAGTCAGTTCTAGGAGGTTTGCTTACCAAATGTACAGACTAACTGTCAGACACACTACTGTTCTTACAAGTTAATCATTATCGTTACCATTCTGTAATATCTATCACCCTGTCTACAAATTGATTCCAGCAGTCTGATTATAGTCATGACTTATATGGCTTATATGACTTCTTAATGCCCTGTTATCAGGCATGGCCTGTTCTGAAAACAGAACGTCAAATTATTCACCATATCATTCCTTCACCATTTTTGAAGACAGCTAGGAGTTAAAATTGACATGATGGAGCCAAAATTCTTGCAGTTCACAATGGATACTTCTTTCCATTGAGATTGCGAACAAACTTGTATGTCAATCTCTGTCCTGGGACCTTTTTCAGGATGTTTTTGCTGTAGTAGTATCTGAGTGCACGGCTCAATTTCTCGTAAGTCATGTTTTTCCTGTTTTTCTGTCTACCCCACAGGCGTGCCAAGCCATTGTGGTCAATGAGGCGAAACACTCCTTTGGACTGGTTTTTCCACACAATGTACTTGTTGTGTTTTTCTAACAGAATATGGTGAAGAAACTCCCATAGGTAGTGACAGTGAAAGTGCGGTAGATCTGAAAGAGAGAATTAAATAAAGCTACAATATTATTATGCCAAGTTGACACTCAACACTAGCATATTACTTGACCCAAGCAATGCAGGTTTAAGCACACAAGAACATTTTGATCGGAAAAGTCGGAAAAGTGGACTTGAAAAAAAAAAAAAGGAAAAAAATTAGTGAGGCTTGGGGAGAGAGCATCCTAGGGATCACTACACAAGGGCAAATGGGGATACTGTCTTGCGTTAAAACATGACGTTCTTGAATATACAGTAACTACAAGCTAGTTGTAGATTAGAGTTCCTTACCATCGTCTTCTTCATCTTCATTTTTTTCATCCTTTTCATTGTTTTCTTCTGTCTCTCTCTTCTCCTCATCTTCTGCTTTGGTGTCTTCTGATTAAAAACAGTCAGTTAATAAAATATAAGTTTAATGCTTAAAGTTCAAGGGCAGGATGCATCACTTTAATCAAGAAATCAACCGCGTTTTGACTTACTTTTAGCTGGGTTTGAAACTGGTGTACTTTGTTGCTCACTGTGCTGACTTTCCTGGTTTGATTCTTCTGATTTCTTCTCCTCACAACTCTTGCTTTTCTCTTTCTTTTCATCCTTTCCTTCAGTCCCATCTTCAGAAAAGCAACAGAATAATAATTATTATTATTATTAACTCTGAGAGAAAATTATGTGTTGGAAGTGTGGGGGTTAAATTTTGGGAGTCTTGCAATTCCCAGTCTATAGGTTCTGCACTTTTATGAGAAAGCCTAATTATGAATTTTGCAAAAAACATAATAATAATGATAATGATAATGATAATGACTTTTTTCTGCATTTCCACAAAAGATAAAATGGCTCTTCATCATCCAGAACTCAAATGAAAACTGCAAATTCTGTGGAGATTGGAGACCGAACTTACTTTGTTACATAAAGAATGTAGGCCTTATTTTTGGTCTAACTTGCGCATGTAAATTAAAGCTCAAAAGGTATCTTAATAGAGGGTGGAGCTGATTAAGGGAATAATAAACAACTGATAAAATACATTACCATGAGGTTCATCCATCTCAGCTTCAATTCCTGAGTCAAATCCAAAATCTATGTCGGCAGCATCATCTAACAATGGCGAATCAGGAGTCAGTGGCAGATCTGTGAATAAACGGTGACTATTGAATAAGGAGACAATAATAATTGCACATTTTGAACAGGCCTGCACTTCTAAAGGGTACAAGGCGCCAGAGAGATTAAAAAAGTATATTTTGCTGAATTGTACTTTCAAAGTACAATTCAGCAAAATATACTAACTGCTGAGCAAAACAAAAATTAACTAACTGCTGAACAATAAATAAATTAGTCATCCTGGAAATATTAACCTTGGAAAAGGTTGATCTCATCTTCTGAGAAGTCTGAACCACCATAACCATATTCTGAACAAGCATCCAGGTCTGTGAACTTGAGTTCTGTAAAAATAAGCAAGATTTGGTTAAACCTTTTCAGTGTAGATGCTCCACTTTGCTAGTACAAATTCTTTTACTTTTTTTTAAACTTTTTTACATAATAAAAACAAAATTAAGTTCTATGTTCCAGTCATCACAAACCTCTTTTTATTTTGGTAGTTAAAGAATACTTTAAAACAAACCTAACTGGCCTTTTTTATTATCCAAACACGAACAAGCTTCCCTTATTTATGAAACAAGCTCAGTTTTAAATGGTCAATGGTTTTTAATATTATTAGTATTGTTAATATGATATAGCTTTCATTTTGAATCAATGATCCAAAACTTCAATCAAATAAAGAAATCATTCAATGGTAGCCACCATTTGAATATTGAATATTGACTGGATTAATGACAAAGCATCATTCTCTTTCCATCTCCATGATAGAGATTATGGTGTATCTGAAGTACACAGTGGAAATTTGTCTAAGTAATTTGGTAAAGGTATATATAGAAAGATTTGTTTTTCCAACTTTAGGATATGTCTGGAGTGATCTGAAAAGTTGACACAGTTATAGGAACAATATGCTAGCACTGTATTTTTATCAAAATCTTTCAAATGGGGTTCTTGATTTTGCTGTCATCTTGCAGCCATTTGGAGTGTTATATCAATAGAATTACCTTCATCATCCATGCAATCGTCAGATGTCTCAACATCTATAACAGCATCAAATTGAGTATCTTCAAATGGTCCAGGACACAGGTCTACATAGCCGGGAGCTGTTAGCAACAGAGAGACAAGAAAATAAAAATAGTTAAAATTAACGAAGAAAACAGTACATTGATTAATTTGCACGGTAGCCATTCCCTACACATGGCTACCTTGAAGGGCATGATTAAGCTAATAAACAGCAGTACACATGTAGCTGAGTAGTATATAAATGAAATTCTAATCTTGTTTGTTAACTTAGCTTAATAAGACATAACTGCATTACAAATTTGACTCAAGTGTGAAATTCTCTAGCAATAGCAGATTGCATGTTGTCGTCATTTGACTACAACTACCAGAATTCCTTTTGTTTTTTCCTTGTTATTTAAATTTTGAATTCCCAGCCGGGTTTAAATAACAATTGCCTGAATTAACATAAGAAACAAAAAAGTGAAGGATTCTGGTAGTTGTAGTCAAATGATGCTATCATGCAAATCGCCTATTGAAGGATTTCGTACAAAAAGGGTGTTTATCACCTGAAAATCAATATACATTCTGATGTTTTATATTTTCAGATCAAAAGTGAATGCTTCAAAGGAAAAAAATATTAAAAAATTAATAATAATATATTGTCATTGACAAGATTAATGTTACAAAAATATCAAGACATACCATCAATGGGGAAACCATTTGCATGCAGCAGGTCTTGAATGGCTTCAATTGTGATTGTTGATGCTATGATTGGTCCAGCTGTAGTTGATGGATGGCCATAGGAAGACAGCCATGTTTTTAGCATTGACACTGAAAGCTCACCATGCTGAGAACAGAAGAGAAAATTAGTCAGCTAAAACAGTAAAACATAACTATGTAAGCTTATATTGCTGTGATTAAAGACACCTTGTAATAAGGAAGGGGATTATGGCTGAGGTAAGCGCCATTAACTGATCTGGGAAAAATGCTTTTAAGAGATTTGTGTCATATTGCAAATTTTGCCTCCTGGAGGTGTTACGTTGCTACGTCACAAAACATTAGTCAATAACCAAATTCGCAAAGATACTTTATAAAAGACCTTGAGCTTTGCAAATCTGGAAATCTGCAAAGGTCCCAACCACAACATGCTTATATATACCAAGACAATCCTAGAATACTAAAACTACTTTTAATGCCCTAATTTTGACCAACCTATCTCCTTGATGTCGAACAAAATTTCTAACTCCTTGTCAAATCCATTTCCTGTGGAGTCACCATGCATAAAGGTCGCGAATATAAGGTGTGCGTTGCCGACAAACAAAAAATTATAATACTAGATAAGTTAAAACTTGTCCCAGAATTCAAGTGCTTTTGCACGTGAAAAGAATCTTTATAGATTAATTTTGTCATAGTAAAGTTTGGTATTAACCTCAAACTTAAAGGTTCTGCATGCCCCGTCATGTATCTAAAAATATGTGCCATTTTCATGGAGTTATATGCAAATCCTTTCTAAGAAATGCACGATAAAACTTGCTATTTCAGAGCTGATACGAAACAAGAAAGCACTTGCAGCATCAAAAAAGGTGAACACATAAGTGATTTGATCAATAGTATGTAATAGTTATTGCAAAGGTGTTCATTTTGGTCATACTGCACACAAAGTCTATGTGATGGCTCCAGTTAATATCATGGCCGTTGTGGATTACATATAACGCAATCTTTCCAGCTCTGGGTTAAAACAAATATTTCTCGGGATTGCCGCAAACGCTACTCACAGATTGTACTGCTGAAATTCAGATTCATGTCTTAAAAATTATACCCATCGGTAAATTTGGACTACCAAATACATTCTTAGATTGGGATATAAAAAGCGCCTCTGCATCCGTCAACAAACACGAGGCGGAGTCGAGAAAGACGAATGCATGATCAAGGATCACTTCGCACGACATAGCTGAAATTAACATGCAACAAACATTTCGCGCTCTCAAGATAAAGTTCTGATGTTTCAATTTAGCAAAACTTACCGGGTGACATTTCGGGCGAAACGGATTGCCTAACAAAATGTTTGTGGACATGCTTGCAAAACCTGCAAGAAGAATAACCACAACATGACTTCAAGCGCCATTGATATCAAAATCGCTCGTCTACATGTTGCGTGTCTTTTCTATCGTAACAATTTATGTACTTTCCAAACTCGAACTGCAAATGTGTGAAGTTACATTCTATTTGGTAAGTGAACATATTCAAACGTGTTTCAGCACGGTGCTTTGTGTGAAATTACTAGGTTTTAACCACACTGAACCACGGTAGAAACCTTGTAAACTTTCCACTTGGCCAGTTGGCGTAAAACGAACAAATTTGTATGGAGCCAAGCCAAATCTACGGTACTTAGGTGTTAGAAAAGAAAAGAAATCGCTCCTATGAATACTGAAGATTACTTTTTCGATTACAGAAAGGAAGAAATTACCTTTTCTCGCCTTGGAACTCAAACGCTGAATACTTCGATCGTGTTGTATGGCTTCGTTTTATGCACCCAGACTGTTCATTCTCGGAATTACATGCACAGAAATATCATAAACAAGGTCCAAACACCACTGCCCTCAATTGTTTTTTTCGGTGAAAACCCCTGTTTTCTGAGAAACCCGCGCTAATTCTACGCTTCTGATTGGCTAGACTTGACCCTGGAAACGTCACTTTTCCTCACATGACTGATGTCAATAATCTTGAATGGCGCCTTTGCTTTTTGGCCAATCACAAGCGAGTAGATTCGATTTCCGGGAATCCCCTAAATTAGGTACTTTCCCGGGTTTTTTCCCTTTTAACGGCGGCTACTTTCAGTTTTGATTGTGTCATGATGTTATTTTTGCAACTTGACAACGACGTAAACATCACCCACCTATAATTCTCAGAAAGTGCGGAAGACGAAGCTCAGGCTGTCGATAACATAAAACGTGAAAATCTGGGAGGAGAAAGGGCTCAAATCACTGTGAAGGAATACTCTAAAAATAAATACAGTAAGCAATTCTGTGTCATTGGGAATTAAGCGCGCCAAATAAAGTTTCTCCACGATTTTTTACAGTTTCCAAAGTGGTTGCCAAAGTCAAGCAGATGTTACTTAGTAATTTCAGGGAGCATCATTAATAACAAGAAGCACAGAACTTGCAAGTCAGCATTTTCGATATCGAAATCAGCACTGGACAACGAGTTCAATAATTCAGTTATTTATTTCCAGTTTTGTCGTTTATAGTTATTAGGAGAAATGTTTCAATGCCAATCACTATTCATAAACCGATCGACAGTCAAAATTCAACTTAACTATATACAACGAAATTTCCAGTTACAAATCCCTAAAAGTAAATTTAATTTTACACACACACAAATCAATAATTTACAAACGTCATTTCACCACGCTACACGAAAATGCTGTAGACTTCGTCACAGACAAATCTGCACCGCGGGTATATGGGGGATTTTGTGACACGTTCGACTGGACCGCAGGCTAAAATGCTGCTGTTCCTCTGCCAGATGACCTGTGCGCTTCACTCCAATGGACCAATACTCGCTTAAACACTCCTCTTGTGGTAATTTCACCTTCTATTTTAATTAAAGACCTTGATGATAACAAAATAATATACATGCATATAAATGAAAATCCAGTCCAGTGTCGTAAAAATTAAGAGGAAACTTCAAACAGGAATTTTCACACCCAGAGGTCAGAACAGTTCTCATCCATTCCATAAAATTTTATCACATACATACATTTTGTTAAAAAATAAATAAATTTAAACCAGAATTCCTAACAACCCTGCCTCTCAAGAACACATTTTCAGACTAAAACTTCTATATTCTCGTCACCTGACTTCTTGACAATGTATTGATATTGAAAGGAGAATTCACAAGTTGATCACTCTTGGATTAAAGAGTTGCCATAAAACTCTGCTGAAGGTGTTTCCTTCGACAGTAAATTCATTTCTTGTAAGTGCACTTCACCCTGGATCAATCACTTCCATCAGTTTGTCTCAAGCTTTGTTGTAGCTTTGATGCACAGCAGACAAGACTGCAGATATTTTCGTTCAAAGGGAAGTCGTCTGATAATTCACTCGCTCTTTGTAGTCACCAAAAGAGTTGAAGGAGCCAGTCTATTGGAATTAAGCTTTTTCTTGTTCACAACCAGCACAACTGGATTATCAACCCGAATAGATGAAAACTTGAATGTCTGAGAGAGAGAGAGAGAAAAAAACTCTTTGAATAAAGTGGAACTAAATATATTTTTAACATTCAAGATAGGTAGTCACCAGCTTAGCATTTTATAGCATGGGTGATTGACAGATGCCATTCTACACTAGCTGTCCAGAAATGAAAGCCTACCAGAAGAGAGATGTGAGTTATTTATGACTGATTTGGTTAGACTAAGGAGAACAAACAACTGTTGCCTCTCATTTACTTGACCGAACATCATAAGAAATTATTCATTTTATCCTTCAGCAAAAGTTTCTTCTATATATAAGCCAATAATTAGTCTAAAGGTGCACGTTGTTATTTTGGTAGAATCATACTGCAAATAATTCTAGGATCGTTGACTAAATGCTGAATAGAACAGTTGCATTAGAAAGTAACATACTTTCAGTATGCAAGTGAATATATGTAAGATCATATATTTGCGGAGAAATATATGAAGACATGATTGATCATCGTAGTTATACACACAACTTAAGCAGTTGTGAAATTAAAGCCTGACAAAAATTCAGGCCTGAACGGGATTTGAACCCATGACCTCTGCAATACCAGTGCAGCGCTCTACCAACTGAGCTATCAAGCCAACTGGGAGCTGATCATGTTGTGAATTCACTATATACCCGTAGGTCATGAGTTCGAAACCCGTTCAGGCCTGAATTTTTTTCAGGCTTTAATTCCACAACTGCTTAATTTGTGCACCTGTCTTCATACTTTCAATATATTACTTACTAGTTAATCCATTTACCTGGTCATTTTCAATGAAGTTAGTTTCTTGGGAGAAAGGTTCAGGAATTGCAACAGAATCTCCAACAGCAAACCCTGATCCTACAGCCATGTTGTAAACCGTAACTGGTAAACACTGATCTTCACTGTCCACCAGGGCAAAGATACTGAGAAGAAACAACCTTTAGTAAGCTATAAATCATGGTTGCCACAGACACCCCTGGTTATGCAAGAAACAATAGTAACATGAATTTTAAATGTTCTGACTAACAGCCTCGCTGGCAATATGGTTCAATTCGTCCTTGCAAATATACAATCTACTTGCAAATAATACTACTTGTGCACAGTTTTTTTCCTGGAATCGCAAAAATTATTACTCAGGAAATACAACTCCCAAATTCTTGCGAACTTAATTGTGCATAAAACTTAGTAAGGATAAGGTCAATCAAACGCCAATTGATCAGCAATCCAAGAAATTAGCAAGTCATTTGATGATTTTAGCAATTGACCATGAGAAAGTCCATTTCCACCTTGTCTTGCAACACCAATACAGGAATTTTATCCAGTCCAGTGTAAAATTAATGTTGACTTCAGAAATACTTACTACGGTACTGGGTCATCCATCGGAACGGAGCCGACAACTTTGCCGACAACAACCTTGTTGGGATTAGAACCAGGAACCAGTTTAGAAAGAGGGACATGATCAAGCTGGACTGTCTGACCTGATGGACTGGTGTAGCTGTCGCCATCATAAGGACCCAAATCTGAAGGTCCCAAGGAATGGACCATGGAATGGAGCCTCTTGGCCTTTAATTTACCCTGTAGTGCACAACAGCAATGATAATAATAATTCTATATATGATGTGTTCCTATTGTGACAATTCATCTGAAAAAGGACCTACATGTAAAAGGAGTGTGATCATCTATAGCTCACTTTTGAATAGAATGAACCTTAAACTATACCCACTGACATGGTAACTTTAGTTGGTCGCCCCAGTCACATTTTATAATTATATTGTATAGATTTGCTAAATCTGACTAAAATCAATGAAATGCTAAGTCAAATAACCAAGAAAGACAGCACCTTAGTACACAGCAAATGTGTGAGTGTTCAGTTGAAACCAACAAACTTTCTTAAGAGGGACCTTCCTTGTTATCTAATGACACTTACTCAATCTTTAGCTACTTCTTATACAAGGAAAATTACAATTTTGTTTTGAACATTGTGTTGTTAAGCTTTTACCTTTCCTTCAACTAGGTCAAGTGTTTTTGTCAGGATGTTGAGCAGTTTAAATTTCTCGTCACTGGGTTCTGTCCAGCCTGGATCCAGTGCCTCTGCTCTTTTGAAGTCATCTATGGCTAATTTATATTCCTCTTGAAACTTGTATGCCTACAATGGAATGATGATAAAAACTACAAGAGTTTGTCTTTCCAAGTAACTGTAAGACTTTTATTCAGAACAGTGAACAAAGATGCTTATCTGAATGTGTAAAAAACTTCTACCATGGCAAGAGTTTCAAGAAACAACATAGAACAATAAGATATTTTTTGAGTATAATAGTTAATCAGAATACAGTGGAACCCTGTTAATACCACCACCTTCGGGCCATGACAAATTGGTCGTATTAACGGGGTGGTCGTATTAAAGTGGTTCTTTAAAGAAGAAAGTGACTGAGCTTTTTTTCGAGCCAGAATAAAGTGGCCGTAATAACGAGGTGGTCGTATTACCAGGGTGGTTGTAAGGTGGGGTTCCACTATATTACTAAGATAATCTCACCATTGCTCTGTTGAAGTGCAAATCTGGATTATTTCTCGCCACCGGATCTTTATACTGCCAAGAAATGTCTGAACTCAAAATTAATGGAAGACAACCAAAATGACCAGTTTCGTGTAAACAGAAATAAGCAATAGCCCATATAAACGTACATGTAGGAGGTAGTCTGCGTTGCAGCCAGAAATGGGGAAGGGATAGGGAGGCAAAAATGTGAGGAAGCTAACAGTTAATAAGTTATTCAGTGAATAGTAGCCAATGAAAATTTTGCGTTTGTCAGCGAATGCAAAAATGAACAAAAGGGGTTCTTATAGCAGGCGTTGTTCCTTTCTCCCAGTCCCCCGCCTTCGATCCACGTTTTAACTTTTGCCTCCTCCTCCCCCGTTTAATGTCTGCTGTGCAGGCTATGTAGGAGGTAACATACATCAGATCAGTTACAAAAGGGTGCTCGCATGATGTGCCACTGAAAAGGATGAATTAGAAGTGCTCATAAATAAAACATATACAAGACAGTGATGTAGTAAGAGTCGATATTACTATTCTCTCCATATCACCCCGTCAACCTCCAAGCAGGCTCCTTGCAGGGAAGAAAAGAAGGAAAGAGGAAAGTTGTTCTCTTTCTCCTTTCCATCCCTACCAAGAGGTTGCTCGCAGGCTAGACCATGGCACTTGGTACAAACTTACAGCTTGTGAATAAGCCGTCATACACTGCTTGATCAGCTGAGGTGATTGTGAACCACAAAAGAATAATGAGAGGTAAGCATTGCCAAGAACATCTGTGGTGTAAAAGAACAAAAAATGAATCAATAATGAAAACAAAGTCTGACTGACTTAGCAGCTGATGTGGTTAAATTTGATTTCCACTCTTTTTAAATATGAGACAAGAAACAATGGTAAATTATAAAAACCAAAATAATATAAACCACAAAATAGCAAACTTTTCTATCCATACAGTCAACTGCCATCAGATTATCAAATGCCACAGAATCCCAATTTTTTAAACCCCCAAGGGAAACAAAACTTGGTTTGAAAATCAAATACTTTGAGAAAGTGGGGGTAAAATTACAATGTTCCACTGAGGGGAGAGGGACACAACTTTTAGCTCAAAGAATTGGGATAATTTTTAGAAAAATAAGCATTCAAAAACTCAAGATTTCACTGAAGTACAAAAACCGTTAGCACTGGTATCCACAATAGAGTAAAATCATTCATATATTTTTCAAACCACTTTAGTCCATAAGGGCAGCAGTGGTCATACTAAAATATTTCGATCTGCCTACAAAACAGCAGTGAATATATAATTGTAATAAAGGTCTTGTTCATCCCTTGACTTTTGACATGGGAAATCCTCTGGTTTACAATGCACAGTGAATCAAAAAACGATAGGTTAGCCTGAGGTACTTGGTTGGTGGTGATGTGTAATCTGATCAGAATTCAAGTTAAGTACATTGTACTAATCCACTTACACCATGAGGTTCCATCCTTTACATCACACTGCACTGCTTCTTTGGCTTTTTCCACACTCGTTTTGATGTTCTCTACTTTTTCACTTTGATCTGCGACACAAAATTAATAGTGTTTGAACATGGTGACCCAGCCTGTGTGGAAAATAGTTAACTTTTATGATACTCATTCTTCAAAAAAGATCCCCTGGCTTCTGAACTTCAAGTAATCACCCCGGCCCATCCAAATAACTCATAAATAGAACTGCTATCAATCCTTAACGCTCTACAAAGCATGAGTTAATGTTTGATTTTTCTTTCAGTGTATTCTGGTTTTCTACTTTCAGATGCCCAATTATTTGCTTACAACACATCATATGCATGCGTTAAAAGGCTCCTTAAATTTTTTTCTTGTTCTTCTTTCCGACAACTGACAAGCCATGGTTGTGTGTGCAGACTGATATTGGTGATTAAGTTAAGTGGCCTTTCCATAAGGCTGTAGATGTCATACACAGAAAGAAGAGCAACTGAAAAGTCTGAGGAAAACAAAATCAACCCCCAACAGTTACTTTGAATGCTTTGATTTTACGGTTCATCACGATGAAACTTTACCTTTTCCAATCTGTCTTAATACCATTGACAAATTCCGTAAAGACTCCTTATTCTTTGTCTAAGGATGAAATATGCACGCTTTTAACTTAAGGACAACATCTTATACAAAATAATGAATTTTCATCACCATTTGTAAGAGCCAAATAACCATGTAATCGTGAAGACATAGATGATCATCACAGTTACATACATAACTTAAGCAGCTGTGAAATTAAAGCCTGAGAAGAATTCAGCCTTCAACGTGATTTGAACCCATGACCTCTGCAATACCGCGGTGCAGTGCTCTACCAACTGAGCTATCAAACTAACTGGGGGCTTTAATTTCACAGCTGCTTAAGTTGTGAATATAACTACGATGATCATCTATGTCTTCATATCTTTCTCCATAGTTCAAATATATGATCATTCATATATTCATTTGCATTCTTTGCCATCTATGGGTATATTACGAGCTAACAATATGACCAGCTCCCAGTTGGCTTGATAGCTCAGTTGGTAAAGCACTGCAGTGGTATCACAGAGGTCATGGGTTGGAATCCCATTCAGGCTTTAATTCCACAGCTGCTTAAGTTGTGTAAACTATATAACTGTGATGATCATCTATGTCTTCATATCTTTCTCCGCAGTTTAAGTATATGATCTTTCATATAATTATTCATTTGCAACCATGTAATCAGTCTCAGATATTTTAATGCTACTCTGTAACAATTTTGTGTTTGTCTACTGATTATTTGATAATATCTCTTACCATCATCTCTTAAGATTGGACTACAAAATAAATCTTACAGAGGGACTCCTAATGATTGCTTTCAGAAGGCAAAGAGTAATTTAGGAGAATTTGGAAAAAATGAATGAGAGTTATTAAGCAAAGGGAATGAGAGAAAAAAAATTATTGACAGTCAGTAACATCAAGACTGTAGTTCCTAGCCACTAGGAATTACAGTCTTGATGTAACAACAATAATTTCAAAATAAAAGTCTCAAATTCTATTCACTGACAGTTAATAAACTAGAATATTATCAACTAAATTAAAAGCAAATAAAATTAACATTTAAAAATGCTAATCAACTAATAAATTTGTCGTGATAAATTTACTTACATGGTTTAATGCTCCAACAAAGCAATTCCTGGCTGCCTCAACTTCTCCATTCTTCCAGTAACATTCTCCAAGGCAATTCCAGGCTTGGACTAGTTTAGGATCCAACTTGACAGCTTTTGAGAGAGCATCTTTTGCCAAGGGATTATATTCAGCCATCACATTCAGAGCTTTTCCTCGTAAAAATAAGCATCTGGCTGTTTCCTCACACGAAGCTACAAGATTCATAAAATTTTGGATTCAAATAAAAGGTTAAGTCTGCATATGGGCCAAGTGGTCCATCAGGCCAGTGCTTACCCTAGTTTCTGTAGCATGAAGCGACTGGAAGTATTTCTATTCCCCTTGGATGGGATGCTAGTCCATTGCAGGGTTTTCCCCAACATTAAATTTGCCAGTACCCATTTATTCACGTGGGTGGAGAGAGGCACTGTGAGAGTTAAGTGTCTGGCCCAACAACACAACAAAATTACCCTGGCCAGGGATTGAGCCCGGACTGCTCAATCCTAACGTCAGCACACTAATCATGAGGCCACCACACCTCCAAATTCAAATAAAAACAATAATAATTTTATAATATTTATTTATTTTTTAAGGGTAACTTTCATATGAAACATGTAATGTCAGTGTGATTCTTAAAACTGATAACAAAATTTGCCCATTAAAACTAAATCACAAATTTTTGAACATGTCTTTACCATCAGTGTTTAATATAGCCTGCGTAGCAGCTGTTTCCTTTCCTTTTCCAAAAAAAGCACGCAAAGGGGACGAAAACAAGGAACAGGGGGAGGCCTCCCAACTCTCACTCACCTTCTCCCCACTTCTCCCCAGTTTTTTTGCTCACCCCAGGCGCGCTCCTCCTTCGCTACATCTTTTTGCCTGGAAAAGGAAAGGAAATGGCTGCTACACAGGCTAGCTTTAATACTGCATTTAAATCTAGATATCTCAGAGCAGTCCTGATAATGTTTTTCCATAGTTAAAGCCACTTTTTCTCTCTTGTAGCCTGGTCTGTTACTGTACATTAAAGAAGATAATTTTAAAGCTAAGCTTCCTGGATTGTCCTCTAGATGCAATGTAATCTAAGTTCTTCTTACCCTGTACATAATCCAGTATGTTCAGAGTCTCTTTTAGTTTTTCTTGAGTTTCTTGGTTCTTCAGTAATGCTTTGTCAGTAGAATTGTGTTCAAAATAATGGTCCCTGAACTCATACAGCTGTTGCACTGCAATCTGATAAAGATTCAAAATTAAAACAGTATATTTTTCCAAGGGTGGATCCAGATCTCTTTATAACGTGTGGGTCCCAGCCCTTTTGGCTAAAAATAAGGTGGGACCCCCCAAATTTTGGATCTTTGAGCCATAAGTATCTTTGTTATTATTATTATTTTTTGTTAGCTTTCTTTTAAATCAATTCAATGTACCTTTTGATGATTGTAATGATTGAGAGAAACGGGTTATCAAACCAAAGGCAAAACCACAACACCTNGGGGGGGGGGGATTGCTGGAACCCAGGCCCCTCTCCTAGATCTGCCATTGTTTTCGCTCATTGACGACCAGAAATAAACACACCTCTTAACTTCTGTGAAGACCATCTCATTGTTTGAAGGTTTCCAAGCTAATATTGGTCATGACAAATATTTGTCTGGGTTTTCTGAGCCCGCGATCTCCTACCATGATTTAAGCTTGGTTATAAGAACTGTATGAATACAATTTATCTCAATTGCAAAAAATAAAGCAGCATAATCTGAACATATAAATAGAAGCTTGAGGTACATGTATCATTCATGCTGTTTATAATTTTTATTTGAACAAACATAAATACAAGAACAGCTGTTTAGTATGTTTGGATTGTCAAACATGTCTTCTATACTGATCTGATTTGATTTTATGCTTTTGGTGAATCTTCAGGTCTCAACAGTGATCTCTCACCTTTTTATTAGTTCCATGCAGTTTGCGCATTATGCCGAACTCTTCATAAATCCAACTATTAAAGTAAGTAAACACCAACCTCAGCCCTCTCTAAAGGCCATTCCTCGTCGCTAGGCTTTTCTTCATTAGCTGGCTCTACTTCCATTACAGATTCTTATACCTTTTCACGCTAACCACGCGTCAAACGACCAGAAAATTCCGCTGCCTTCCCGCCGCCATTTTGAACTTTGCTCCAGTCTTCTCACGTTTCTGCTGGTCAGTGGATTTGCCCGTCAGAGGGTAATTGGTTTGTATAACATGCATCAAGTGTAGTATCAACTACGATTTCTCGGCAGTTTTCTTCCGTGATTAATTTATCATTAGAATCTGTCACAATTCAACCTGCTCTAACCCAATTGCAAAAGTGTTAGTGTCCACTCTATTGGCTGCTTGCTTTTCGAGGGCAATATATCATGAGAAAAATACTTTTCCCACTACCTACACGGTATCCTAACTTTGTCCTTGTGGTATATTACAAGGTAGCTTATATGACGAAAATGCGTCAAAATCAGCCACGCAATCAACCGTGCGTTGCTTCATTCTGTAGCAGATCTCAAAATGGGTATGTTTTTCATCTTTCTAGTTTTACACAACTCAAATTTTAGGTTATATCTGAGGCGATTGTTTTATTTTTCCACAGGGGGTTTCTTCTCTAGTTTATTTTCTTCGTTGTTCGGTCAGAAAGAGCTCAGAATCCTTATTTTAGGGTTGGATGGGGCTGGTAAAACAACCATCTTGTATAGGTGAGTGTATTTTATGTAGTTACCTCGTGCTTCTTTCTTGGGTTTTTGTTTCAATTTTAATATTTCTTTTCGCGGTTTTTTAGACTTCAAGTTGGAGAAGTTGTAACAACAATTCCAAGTAGGTCATTAGTTCTTATTCGAAAGTATTTTTCAATTCAAAGCTCAACAGTTTGTCTTTTTGCATTTCAACTTGGAAATGGTGTCACGATGTCACCGAAACGTTGTTCTTTCTTATCGCTAATTTTTACTTGTTTATGCTTAACATTTGTAAGCCTCCCAAAATGATTTTTTTTATAACTTGTAGCTGTGCTCAACAAATGAGTCATATTTCCAAAGTCTCTACTTTATCAATAACAGGTCATCACAGAACTGACATCTTAAAATGCTTTGCATCTCCCGATCTCAGATTCGTCACACTAAGGTCCCAGTTATATGGTCCCGGGAACCTGAGACAACCCTCCCTCAAGGCAACTTTATCAAGTGTTTATATGTGAAAACGCAGTCCCTGTAGGCGTAGTCAAAGTTGACTCTGCATGGTTATTCATAACCCTTATTGAGTAATCAAATGTGCAAAATTAATATGCCTCTTTCTTTGACTTTCCCTTGGTCATTCGATCACAGTGGGTTTTGCCGAGTTAAAATTTTCACTTCTTTGATACGAATTTCAGCCTTGTTACCAGCTGAGGCGAGACAACTTGCCCACCCAAGTTGTCTCGCCCCCTGAGACAGGTTGACGATCTTAATGTAAAGGGATAGTTAAATTTTGCAAAGAAATAAGCTAAAAGTTACCTCTGCCAGGGTAATTTGGGGGGAGGGTTGTCTCGCGTACCTGAGACCATATAAATGGGGCCTAAAAAACTGTGTTTTGCTCTATACAAACTCAGTAGTAGCATAACACAAGCAGGTAGCATGTTGAACATGGAAGCAAAGAGAACTACTTTATGATCTGCTAATCACAATGAATGCTCTTAGTTTTAACCTTTGTTGCTTGAATCTTGTTCACAAACTAGAAGACAAGGAATAATTTTCGATATATTAAAATTCAGCCTGAAACAATGGACCTCAGTACGAGGCTCTGGGGAATAACTACAGAGTTTGTGGGGTTTATTCCCCAGAGCCTCGTGCTGAGGTCTATTGTTTTAGGCTGAATTTTAATATATGGAGAAGTAGTGTAATAATATGCTATCATCCTTTCAATTTATAGCAATAGGATTTAATGTTGAGACAGTTACATACAAGAATCTTAAATTTCAAGGTGAGGAAAACATCATGATGGTATGCTGCATTTTATTACTAAGAAAGGTGTTGTGTCCTACTGATTTGTTACCAGATTCTACGGCGATAGTCAATAAATTGAGGACAATATAGATCTCTTTTCCCATTGGTTTGATGTTCAATCATGGCACCAAGCAATACGTCAGGATTTTATGATGGCTTTAGAGGGGCTATGCTGTTTATTGAGTTGGATGGAATCAATATGGACATTAAGTTTTGACCCTCCTCTCAGCCCCTGCCCCCCTCCCCCCTTCCCAGCCAAATTATTTAGTGTAGATTTTATCTGACACACACAAAAGTTTTTCAGATACTTGTGTCCAAAACCTTAAGTTATTCATGTTAACTTGTTTCTTTCTTTTTTTCATGTCTGGATAAAGTGTGGGATCTAGGAGGTGAGCAAATAATATTGATCATTTTTCTAACCACATGATGATAGTGAGAGTACATCTAATCATGGGAGACGTAATCAAATTTGAATATCAAGTAGTAAAATAAAATAATGTCATTAATAAACTTTGCTTTCATTTATGATTAAAAAATAATTATTTGTTATTGTTCTTTCAGGGCAAACAAGCATTAGGTAGGCAAATTTTATTCTTGTTATTTATAGTAACTGTTGTGTTGTTATTTTTGCTTTGTGTAGACTTGAAAAGTCATATGATAAGCAAGTGAAATAGAAGAGAGGCAGGTTGATTTGCTTCAAGCATAAGGCCAAAGAAAACAAATTCCTTAGTTGGAGTCAAACTTATGACACTCCCCGCACTGGTTGAGCACTCTAACCGCCAATCACTTATGGTATTTGTCAATGGTAGGTAAGTATAAGGCCAGGATGCTGACTTTGCTGTCTTTTTTTTTCTTACAGGCCTTATTGGAGATGCTATTACTCCAACACAGATGCTATAATTTATGTCGTAGACAGCATGGACAAAGACAGAATAGGCATCTCTAAGCAAGAGTTAATTGCTATGTTAGAGGTAACATAATGATATTATAATTTACAGTAAAACTGTCTAATTATTAGTGTAGGCGAGTTATACCATAAGTACTATTTAAAAATACCATGAAAATTGCACAAGTCTTCAGGTGCATTTTTTGAAAGGGGGATGGATCATGTGAACTACAGGCACCCGCTGTCGAGTCTCAGTCAATACTTGATCGACACTCGATCGACACTTGATCATCACTTGATCAACAGACGATCGATAGTCTATGGAGTGTCAACCAATTCGTAGGTATTGATTGAAAATTAGTCAACTGTCGACCAAGATGTTGATCGAGTGTCAACTGCGGTGTTGATGAAGTGCCAATCAAGTGTCGATTCAGAGTATCAATCAAGGGTATCAATCGACACTCTGGACACGGTGGACGCCTCAAGTACACATGATCCAGGTGGTAGCGCAATCCACTGTATAAATCATTATCCAGAGGATAGCGTGGTTTGTTTTGTTAATAGTTATCCACTAGATAGTGATTTATCTATTGGATAGCATAATCCAGCCTTTGAACTACTGGGACCAGGTGCAGCCATAACTGTAGCTGATTATTAGAAATATACCTTCTCCTAAGCATTATTTTCATGTACCTTAGACAGTACCAAAGGATGTAAGGTATTCATTTGCTTCTTTTCCTCAGGAAGATGAACTTAAAAAAGCAATTCTAGTGGTTTTTGCTAATAAACAGGTAAGCATCTCCCATCTTGCTCCTGTCTGGTTTAAAACGTAACTTTTTGCTCCAATAAGTACAGGGTATCAATTTTCTTTCTAGAAAAAAACTAGAAAGAAAGAAACTGAATTATGTACTTGGGCAAAAGTCATTCTCACTAGCTCTACCTACCAAACAAAACATATATATATATATATCTTATACAGCACTGCTGTTATTTGAATTTGCTGAAAATATTTCCCAGAAAACTTCAGAAATTTCAGGACAGAATCCCTTATCCAACTGCAAATCTTCAAGCCAGAAGCTATCAAACACAACTCTTTTTGTACACTGCAGTAAAAGCTGCTGCTCAGAGGATGGGAAACCAAAGTAAAGTTAATTATTTAGAAAATACTGTAACATGAATGTTGTCGTCTGTCAGGATATGGAAGGTGCCATGTCGGCATCTGAGGTGTCCAATGCTCTGGGTCTTTCTGCATTAAAGAGCCGTACGTGGTCCATATTTAAAACCTCCGCTACTAAGGGAGAAGGGCTTGATGAAGCTATGGAATGGTGAGTTAACAAAAGGACACTTTGAACATTTTGCAAGACAAAGGCAAAGTCTCTCAATCCAGTCATTGAGACTGGGTGAGATGGCAGAATGGTTTATCATATGCAAACAGATTAGCAGTTCCTTCTTCTAACTGTTATTATATGAATAACTCCATTGCCTATCTAGGAGCCATCATTTCGAACCTTCTTTCGCCTCTTGCAAATGGCAGAGGAATCAACGCCTTCATAAAGAAGGCTTGGCAGTCAAAAAGCTTAAGCAGTTGAACTTTTCAGCCGAGTCGCCTTCTGTCATGCAACAAATGGACCCAGATTTTGTTCATATTTAATATATACTGATCGGTGAGGTATGGGTGGGAAGGGAGTGGAGTATGAACTAAATAGGTTAGGGGAGGATGGGAACGGTAAAAAGAAGGTTTAGTAATTGTAGATAGAAGGTTTAATTGTATGATTTTTTTAGAGCATATTTTTGATGTAATTGTAATAATAGTAGGTTACAGTATATATTATTTTTTCTTTTATTTTAGTGCACGGCCCCATAAGCTTATAGCTTTAATCTTTACCATAGATAAATAAAGTCTTGATGATTAGATTTGATTTGATCAATACCAGGACATAACCACAGTTTCCATAAGATGAAAGTACTAAGCATCTGCTAGGATTAGAACATTTAAATGTGCACTAAATTGCTCACCAGAGAAGTTTTCTTCTCCACTCTTGGGAATGTTGGAAATGACATTCTCATGAGAAAATTTCACATCAAAACATTTCCAGGGCCATTCCCCAGACCCCCCGGGAAGCTTGCACCAAATGGCTACCAGGGTATGACAAACATCCTAGCATGTTCTCTTCATGAAATCCCTCCTGCTACTTTGGAATACTGTCTAGAACTTTGGTTGAACCCTGTGTAGTACAGGGAGGATGCAATTTATTTTGTAGAGATGTCAACAATATCAAACCTCCTGTAATTATAGGAACTTGCTTATTGTCATGTTTTGTTTTATTGCTTTCAGGTTAGTGGATAGTCTCAAATCAAGACAATAATCAACATAGTTATTGTATGTTATTTAATGTTATTATCTTCTCCACTCTCCCTTCATCCAGTGAAATTTTTTTTTCAAACATCAAATCTCTATAATGAAGAAAATTTTGGACTGTAACATTTCTGCATTGAAAAAAAAAAACAACGTTTTACAAGTTTTAACATGTAGTTTATCGTCAATTCGTCATTTTTTGGTGTTAAATGTCATTTAGTACTCTTTGGTTGTCTGTGTTTCAAGGTAGAGTAGACGAGTTGTTTTATATTTAGTTCTACTAGATGTCTACAAAGTTTGGGATATTTATGAGCAAACTTTTATCTTGTAGTGGCTGCCATAGGCTAAATAGCTATAGAGCTCTATGGCTCTGTGTAGTTTTAAGAAACTTTCATATTATTGTTCACCCATAACTTTTTGGAGACCGGAAGGGCTTTCAGTTTCTCACTTTCTTTATTGAGATAAAAATAAATGCGCTTGATGATAAGTTTCCAATACTGATGTTTCCATGGCAAATATTCCATTGTCTCCTGAGACAAATGGAGGCCGACCAAGTATTGAATGTTGATGTTTCCATGGAGATGTTGATCAGTTTGCTACTAATCACAGAGAGTTCAGTATTCAATTTGGTGCTTTTTTTCAAAAAAAA